GCCGCCGTGCCCCGGCCGCCCCGGGCCGTGCGCAGGAGCGCACCGCCTCCCGCACCGCCTCCCGCGCCGCGGCACACCGACCCCTAGGGGGAGGAATGCACCGGCACCGGCACCGCACCGGCATTGCACCGCACCGGCATTGCACCGCACCGGGACCGGCACGGGCATCGCACCGGCACCGCGCTGCACCGACAGCGGCACCGCACTTAGCACCGGCAACGGCTCCGCACCGGCACTGGCATCGGCGCACCGCAGCGGCACCGGTGCTCCCCAGCACGGCATGGCACTGGGACTCCCTCCGCAGGGCACGGCACGGCACGGCATGGCACGGCGCGGCACCGGGGGCTCCCCCGGCACGGCACCGGGGTCCCGGCTGCTCCCGGGGACCCTCAGCAGCCACCGTGTGCCCCGGTTGGGGGATGCCCCTGGGTTACCCCCAGGATCAGAGCCCCGATGGGGCTCCCAGGCTGGGCTCTCCCGGGCTGGGCTGTCCCCCCCCCAGCTGAAACCCCCCAAACTTCCTCCTGCACCCCTACTCCTCCACCCACTCACCTGCACCCCACTGCAAACCCGGCCCCCTGCACCACAGCCTCACCGTACTCCATGCGCCAGCACCGCCCGCATGCCATACAAGCGCCACAACTCATAACTGGCGACAGCCACCACCGTCACCGCGCTTCCCCTGCCTCTTTCCTCCATGAATTTCAATCAACCCAGGCACTAAAAATAGCCGCGCTCGGGCGCTGGGCAGGGCTGCACCCGGCCGGTGTGGTTTTCTCTTTATTTGCCTCAAAAATTCTGCCTTGGAGGCTGCGAGTGCCTCCCACGGCACTGCCAGGAGCGCAAAGGCCGAGCCGTGCTGCTTGGTGTGATTGTAGCACCACGGCACGCTCCAGCCTTGCTGCCCAGGGTGCTGGGGAGCAGCCCATCCGGTGCCAGGGTGCCATGGTCCTGGGGTGATGGCCACCACGGGGACACAGACTGGGCAAAGGGGACACCCACCAAGCCACCCTGCAGCCTGTGGCACTGCCATCACTGGCGGTGCTGGGACCCCCCACTGTGGTGGCCCTGGCACAGGGCATGGAGGTCGCACTCACCCGGGCACCATGGCACCCATGGGTGCCGTGCAGTGTCCAAGGCTGGGTCCGGGCTCTTTCACCACCTTCCCCCATTGCAGCCACCATGGCAGCCAGTCTGTGCCATCTTGTGGTGCTGGGGACCCCGCTCTGTAGCCCCCAGGGAGCCCTGAGGGAGCAGGGATGGCCCCAGGCTGTGGCTAGGGCCGGGGCAAGCAGCGGTGGAGGGAGCAGCGCGGGCTGGGGACGGTGGCCCCAAAACCCGCCGGCGTGCCCTGCGGGGCACCCATCCCACATCCGGGAGCACCGTGCCAGGAGCTCTGCCTGCTGGGCACACCTTCCCCTGCCTGCACCGGTCCCTATCTGCCTGTACCGCTCTGCTGCCTTCTTCCTGGTATACCAGCCCACGGTGCCACCGTTCTCCCGATGACATGCCTCAGCACCCCCAACTCTGGTGGCACTGGGTGACAGCCCCCCCCGTGTCCCCCCCAGGCAGGGGACTCCCTGGCAGCCCCCGAAGGGTAAAGCAGCAGGCACAGGGCTCCTGCCAGCATGGCTCGGACCAAACCCAGCTGGGCTCTTGCTGGGGTCACAGTGGTGGTGATGAGGACCTGGTGGGGTCTCAGTGCCGCCCCCCCCCCCCCCCACCCGCCCCC